TGCGCCGACGCGAAATAGAGAGGCAAGACGTCTTCTAAAGATGTAAACAACCCCTTTCACTTTAGTCCGGCAGCTGATATAGGAATTCGTTGTTGTGGATTTATTAGTGCTCTTTTATTGTGTTTTTGTTAAGATTTTTTGGGGTTTTGTAGTAAAATATTTTATACATTAAAATTTAAGAATAGGGATTTAAAAAGTCACGGTTCAATAAAAAGCAAACAAGGTACACGTAAATTAAAGGACTTAATGCATGAATGAAATATTTACCTGTTTAAATACCTATTTTTTAATAAATAATTTAAGATTTACACGTTGTTTCAATCTCTTTTTCCATTGGCCATAAAAATTCATTAATTTTTCATGGATATGTAATTAGAACCAAATAAATAACATAACTAAAATCATTTAAAATAAACGATATTATTAGAGTCGTCAGAACACTAACATGGAACAATATGTAAACCTGACAAATAACTGCTAAAAAAATATTCGTAAACTAATTAACGCACTCAAGTAGGTACCGAGTAATCTTGCCTGATTTAAACCATCATCTCTGCACTATCTCAAAGATATGTGCCATTGACAAAAGTACTAATTCTTTTTGTTTAATTAAATAAAGATCTGTCCATTCAATTTACTTTTTAGTGCAATTTTGTTGATCCGGTGACTAATAAAATCATTTACCTTAATTAAATGTCCATTAAATTTATTGATAACTTGAATAGCAACATTATCACAGTATTATCATTTATGCGTAATTATTACAAGACTTTTTTCCTGATAACTTTTCGCAATTTAATTCCTCAAATTACAGTCAGTGACCTCAAACATACCAAATCCAAGTTTGAAACAAATCGGCTCATCAATACAAATGTCTGCCAACTTTATCTTTGTTAAATTCAACTTAAAAATCATATTTGGCGGCCTTAAACATCCCCAAGTTTAGGACAATTGGTTCATTAGGAAAGTCCGCCATTTTGATAGTTTTATGTTTAGATCAAAAATTGTATTAAGACCACCAAGTTTCTAGTTTGAGACAAATCGGTTCTTAAACGGAAAAGTCCGCCATTTTGATTTCCTTGATTTTTTGTCAGAAATCACAATCAGCGACATCAACTCAACAACCCCCAAGCTTAAGTAAATCTATTCATAAGTATAAGAATAGTAAGATTGTCCCCTATTTTGCTATTAACTACGAAAGCGTAGAGGGCCACGGTGAAAAAAAAAATGACAGTTATATCTTCCATTAGTGCTACTGCTAATTGACATTTACATCTGTCAATAAGGCTAATTCATAGTTCTGTTTGTTAAGTTAATTGACACTTACATCTGTCAATTAATGCTAATTGACATTTACATCTATTAATTAGGTCTTAGTGTCAATTAATTAGCATTAATCGACAGCCAGAACTGGGAATCAGGCCTAATTGACAGATATACCTAGGGCCAATTAGTAGTAATTGACAGCTAGAACTGGGAATTAGACCTAATTGACAGATGTAAGTGAAAATTAGCACTAATTGACAGATATCACTGTCAATTATATATTTTTTTCACTGTGATCCTTCTACGCTTTCGTAGTTTACAGTAAGGTTCATCAAAAATTAGAATGATTGACGGAATGTCATCAGATTTGACACTGACTTCCATATTGTTGTATGAATAACTTGTCAAATCAGATACCTCTGTCAAACACTTTAAAAGTGAATGAAAAGTTTTGAGTAACGGGGCGCATTATTAGTCAAAAATTGTATTCAGCGACATGTTTAAACAACGCGAAATTTAAAGTTTGAGACAACTCGATTAATACACTAGAAAGTCCATAAGTAATAATTTCTATTGTTATCAAAAATCAAAACCCTGTGCACCTACCAACTTTCAAGTCTCTAGCTCATCCGGACGTAGGTAAAAAAATTGAAATTTATCAATAGCGATATATATTTTTCCTACGACCACTTAGGAAAGTGACACATATCACACTATATAGTCCTATGGAAAGTGTCCTATATCACACGCGTATGACTAAGAATTTACTTTCCACCCAAGTGAGAATATGTTACTTTCCGCAGTAGTTGTCAAAAAATGTCAAACGCCTAATTTCTATTTTGATCTATGTAATGTCCATATTAATACTAAAATTGATATGATTGTTAAATTATTGAAATTGTTTTAAATTAGATCCTAGATATTTATCTTTAACAATTATTATTAAAATAATTTTAAAATAACTAAGATTATGTTTGCTCTTTAATTTGGGTAAATACATAACCGATTAGATCATTCAATTGACGTAAGGCCCATTAGCTCAGTTGGTTTAGACGTCGAACTTATCAACTTTGCCATTTTTTGACCGCGTTCAATCTATGGTTCAAATCCTGGCGGAGCCGAATTTTTTTTTTGTTTTTTTTTTTATTTTTTATTAGTTTTTTTTGTTTAGAAAATATGAAAATTGAATAAATACGATTATTGTTGATTATTTTTTTAAATACATTTTAATTAATATAGTAATAATAACCTTGGTTTTACATTTTTTTGATATTATTTTGTAAGCTAATTTCTATTTTGATCTATGTAATATCCATATTAATACTAAAATCGATATGATTGTTAAATTATTGAAATTGTTGTAAATTAGATCCTAGATATTTATCTTTAACAATTATTATTAAAATAATTTTAAAATAATGTTTCCTCTTTATTTTGGTTAAATACATAACCGATTAGATCATTCAATTGACACAAGGGCTGTTAGCTCAGCTGGTTAGGACGTCGAACTTATCAATTTTGCCATTTTTCGACCGCGTTCAATCTATGGTTCAAATCCTGTCGGGGCAGAATTTTTTTTTTGTTTTTTTTTATTTTTTTTTATTTTTTTTTTATTTTTTTTAGTTTTTTTTGTTTAGAAAATACGAAAATTGAATAAATACGATTATTGTTGATTATTTTTTTAAATATATTTTAATTATTATAGTAATAATAACCTTGGTTTTACATTTTTTTGATGACATTATTTTGTGGTCGTAGGAAAAATATTGTACATCACTTGTGTGAAAAGTGATTTTTCACACTCGTGTGAAAAATGTCACTTTCCACACTCGTAATGTAATATACTATTTATATTTACTACATAAGTTAAATACTCATAAATATAAAACTGCCTAATGACCAAACATTTATTATAAATGTAAACTACAAAAGAGTTTTAGGTACTTCAAATTACGTCGAGCAGTGTAAACATCACATTCAAGACCAGTTCTTAATTCGAGCAGTATTTTAGTGTGTCGTTCCGTCAATAACGTCAAAAGAGAGAGAAAGAAAATTTGCACCACCCAAGATCAAAGGCACCGACGCTTTAGGTCGCTACTCAACGGTTAATATACTTTGCTTTAACACGAGCAGAGTTTACAACTCCTTCCAATTTCAACTTTGACTCCACCTCATGGCACTTTTTTGACCGTTTTTGGCCTGTTCTGTATGTTTCATTTCTTCTATATTCTTTCTCCTATCTTTTATTTTCTTTTCAACGGAAGGCATTAATTCCTCCTCAACGGAAGAAATTTTATCTTCCATAGAAGAAATTTCGTTTTTCATAGAGGACATATCAGACGAAACTTTGGTTTCCATGGAAAAAATATCAGAAGAAACTTTATTTTCCAAAAAAGAAATGTCAGAAGAAACTTTAGTTTCTATGGAAGAGATTTTACTTTCCAAGAAGAAACTATTGAAGACGCATCAATCATCAATAAAAAATTATGCACAAAAACAAATGTAGTATCCTCAAGTCAATTCCCTTATTGTTTGTTGTTTGTGAAATTGTAAGTGTTCGTTTGTGGTACGCTTTATTCTCATTTTTGAAATAATATTGGCTTTTTTTTAAATATTTCCGTGCTTACCATATACTTATTTCCATTTCAACAACAAACAAAAATACAGACATAATATCGAAATTTGAATAGAATTGGCATCAATCTTTAGGCATTTCTTTATAAGCTTACCACGACATACTTCGTAACAGCATTGTGGTTACTCTGATGACGTCAGACATACCGTGGTAACTCGTAGCACTTGTCGTTGTCACATGTCAAATTGGGGATTTGTTTACTTTGTTTTAGTTCAAATAAATAAAAGTAGACGTCATTTGGTTTTCGTTCTTTTGTTATTTATTTAAATATGTCTCCTCCAACAAAAGGAAGAAAAAAATTAATAAGTGTTATTTGTGATGAAATAACAATGATGAATACTTGTGCCAGTAGTCTTATATTTTCATCTTTATATTTCAATATAAATAACAGTATCCATTGGTCATCAACATCGCTCTCGTGAAGAGTTATTTCAGTGCCCTGTATTTCAAATGAAATTTCTTTCATAGTAAATAGAGTTTTCTTTGGTAAATACAAAAATGCCCAACCCAAATATACAAAATGAACCATATAACCCGTAACCACAGAAAAATGTATCTAATTTAATCTCTTTACAATACTTTGCGCATGCTCGATATGCTCAAATGTGGACCTTACTGACCTTACTACACACCTTACCACTAAAAACATCATGGTTAGTAGTAGTTACGTATTATGGTAACGTATGACGTCATGGAAGTAACCAAACCGTTTAAAGAATTGCTTTGGTTACATAAGTATGTTCTAGTAAGTTATGGTAAGCTTATAAAGAAATGCCTTTTATATCAATGCTTAGATCTGACCTTCAATTGTGAAGACAGGTAGCGAAATTAGAGAAAATAGTGTTGAGTAAAATACTGGACAGGTCGATTTTCAACTGCCGTCTTAAGGTACTTTCGAATGGTAGAGCGATAACGGTTTAGTAGATGTTGACATTAGTTATTTGTATAACAAAAACATCATAATTTTAACTTCTGACATCACCTACCTATAATATCAATAAATTAAGTTTTGCCAAATATTATTTACTATTTCGTTCGTATTATATTATTTTTTTTTTCTTTTTTAAAATAGTTTTCTTCTAGAAAATAAACAACTTACCAAGTATCCTGTGGCCGGCATCAAAACTCTTCCATCGATTTCGTGACCCTGCAGAAAAGAATATTTCTCGTCCGACAAGCTAATAGATATTTTCTTTCCGAACGAATCTTCTTTTTCGAACGACGGCGTGAACCAAGTGACGCTGTGATCCCATTTCACTAAGGGCGACAGCATTTTCGTGCCGCGTGCCACCGGGAAAGTCACTTCATTGTAGAGGTTCCTCAAATTTGGTCGACCGCCAGCTAAGTATATTCTTGAAACATAAATAAGCTGCATAAATAAATAAATAAATAAATAACGGAGTTTTTAGAAATATTGTATGATAACACAGGCCTGCGTTTAAATACTCTGTAAAATTTCAGTAACGTTGATTTCAAATCTGCTTTTAGTTTCTTTCTATCACGTATATCAACAAGTTCAAAAGCGTGTTCTTGGGACATACTATTACGAAAATTATGTTCAATAGCTCATTCGATTCGGAATAATGTCTAGATCAATGTGTGAAGAAAAATTTTTCAGTGCATAAAAAATTGCAAAAGTTATAAACAATTAAACACCTCAAAACATGGTGTTTGGTTTTTCGACTATAGTTTGTAAACTATAAATATTTTTGGATTTTTCAAAAAAGATCCTTAAAGAGGAGGAAATTTGCTATAAATAAGTTCTGACTCCCGGAACTGTACCTCCATTATTTATAATTTTAATTTAACGCTCAAAGTAGCCTTCCGCGCGCCATTTTTAGGTTGCGCGCACGGCGTCGAAACCGAGTACGTTACATAAAATAATTTTTTTAAGTTAATAAAATTAAATTCAAAAATTTAAAAAAATTACGGTGTATTCTAAACACATTCATTCCCGTTGGATTTTTTCATAAAAATTAATTTTCCAACAAAGTAGGTTATTGTTAATTAACAAAATTTTTAGAATTTCTCTCATCATTACAAATTGATAAAAATATTAAATAATTACCGTAAATTTTTTTTGCTTTGTGGAGCTCTTTTTGTATACATTGAAATCCGACAACCGGGGGTTGATAATTAATTTAAATAATTCTTATATATTACATATTATATTCAAATTTTTATTTCGAATTCAAACAACATCCCAGCGTATCCCGCCTCGTAGGCGCCGTTAAATTACTTATGGGAAAAACGGTCTTTGTGTCGTTTCTCACGAACGCTAGCTAAAAAAAAACCATATGTCACCGATAGGGTTATATTCAGGAATTAATACAGGGCTTTATAGTCTTTATACACAAAAGCCACAGTCGGTCTCTGTCTGATACATTTGCTTATATGGGAAATTTAAGTATAAATACCCGGGTTTTTGTGGGCTGGTGGAAGATTAGCTTTTTCTTCTTCACCGAGTCAAGTTAACAAAAAACGCAAATATCCAGGTTACCGTCACGGTGACTCCTTTTTCTTTATATTCTTCAAATATAATTAAAAAGAGATATCGCTACCCTTACGGTGGCCGCGCTTTTGTTATATTTTGACAACGGAAATAAAAGATATCGACGGAGTAGAGAAATTAGTTTCTATAAACGACGGTTTCTGCATAGATATCCAGTTATCATTAGGATGACCACCTTTTTCTTATATTTTATATATAAGTAAAAGGAGATATATAGTCAGGTTGACCAAGCAGATACACGTTGAATAGAACCAGATTTCGCTCCTAGAACTGTTTTGTAAAGTTGTATCTACCGAGCGACTAAAATATTGGCGTAACTAATACTGGTGATACCTCGCTAGTCTAGTTAAACGCCAGATATTTTGTATCTCCGGTTCAACATTATAAAATGTTACTAAATGAATAAAAGTACTACTCTATAGGCGACGTTCGTAGTGGATTTCGTCACCCTTCTGGCTGACCCGACGAACTTGCGCCAGGTAGACACTTTTATCAGCGGTGTACTTTTCTTTCTGTAAGGTTTCTTTTACGTAGAATTAAAACGATAATCGCACTATTAAAGTAATCAAACTAAACTCAAACAAATAATGATTGAGAGTGAAAGCAGGTAGAAATACGACCAAATCGGAGGCGTGCTTATTATTTTTGAGAGGGTACAATTATTTAAAATATTCATACAATTTCTTTTATTTATTTCATGAAAACTTTGCAATATCGTAATTTACCTAATCGTTGTAGTCATTAGTGGGGCTTTATGAAAACGGAGTAATAATTGTGGTAATTATAGTAGGAACCAAATAAATTAAGAATATTAATAAAAATCACAATATATATTTCAAATTAAAAATAAGAAAGATACCTAATCAGGGGTTGGTTTGGTGACAGAAACAATATTATCAATTTTACTATTTTAATAATGAATTTAACTTTATTTCACAAATTAACGTATATTTATATATTATGTCGCGGCCGAAGTCAGTAAGGAACTGTCTCTTAAGTTTCTTCTTGGGTTACACATACACAAGTATTCCTTAAATTTTAAATTAAAATCATAATGACGGATATTGCATATCCAATGCAATTGATATTTTTATTTTGTTTTGTTTAGTTATTTTTAAATTTTTATATTTTTTAATCTTTTTATATTATATTTAGTTTTTAATTTACTTCGCTTTGTCTATAAAATTTTTGTAATTTTTCAATGACAATAAAGCATACCTCTATATATATATATATATATATATATATATATATATATATATATATATATATATATCTCTCCCAGTTTACCTGTAGTTCCTCGAAACTAGCCAGCCTTACCCAAGAAACCCTAATTGGGTTCGGCCAACATTAAAAGACATTATAAAGCTTAAATTACTATTTGATTGGTACTTAAATCATAAAAGTTTACACGCACCTATCATTTCGGAAATCCCTAAGTAAGATAATTAGTTTGGATATAACCTACAGGATTATGTTTTCTTGACCGCCAAACATAATAATAATAATAATAATAATAATAATAATAATAATAATAATAATAATGTTTATTTCAAATTTATGTAACAATGTACAAATTGATACAATAATAATAATTAAATAAATAAACATTTGTATCCTGCTGAGACATTGTTCATGTCTGTGTACAGGAATTAAAAATACAAATTTATATAATAATTTCTAAATGGTAATAGTGAATGGTAAAAATAAAAATTATACCTAAATATATAGACTTCTTTTTGTGTACAAATTTTCTTCTAATCTTCAACCTCAGATTCGTCACTGCTGCTACCGCTATCATCAAAGTTAATTATGATTGGTTCAATATTGTGTTCAATACGGTTGTCTACGTTCCACATTTTTTGCTCTTCTTTTAAAACATGCTGAATGCATTTCTTCCAGTCTTCTGCAGAAACATTTTGAATGGCTTCTTGTAGGTAACGTTGCACGTCCACTAATTTAAATGTTCTGTTTTCTCGTGCCACATATCCTTTTACTTGCGCCCAGATTAATTCTATTGGGTTTAATTCGCAGTGGTACGGTGGTAACCTTAATACTGTAATTCCACGACTTAACGCCATTTCATCCACTGCGAATTTTTTATATTTGTCTCTGTGTAATTTTGTTAACTGAAGTAGTTCTGCCTTTAAACTATCTTTTTTATATTGGATGTTTTTATTAATTAACCATTCTTGAATTGCTCGTTTTTTCCATGATTGTTTCGGTAATGATTCTAAATACCGACTATGATATGGGGTATTGTCCATGACGACGACAGACCCAGGTTCCACAAGTTGAATGATGCCTTCAAACCATTTTTCAAACACCTCCGCATTCATCTCTTCATGATAGTCGCCTGTTTTCTTGGATTTAAATATTAATTTACCATTTGGTAAAAATCCACTGTCGCTTCCTATATGCGTAACTATCAGACGACTACCTTTTCCAGACGGCTGTTTTAACCCAGTTGACAAGCCTTCAATAAAGGCTTGTCGTGCACTTGTTATATGACCATCCTGCCATACTTTTTTGACCGTATGTCCTTGGTTAACCCACGTCTCATCCATGTAGTAAATTTTTTTTTGATATTCCAAAATTCCTCAATTTTTCGGAGATAATTTCTTGTTTTTGGCTTCTTCATCAACTGTGATTTTTTTTCTTCCGCTACTAGTTTTTGGCGTTTGTACTTCCCCATGAATTTTGTTTTCTCTTAGTATTTTGTAAACTGATGATTTTGGTACACCCGTATAATCAGAGCACATATCAACTAATTTATCTTTTGTAATTGTGGAAGTTAATGATGTAGGAACGCCCGGTTGGTTATTCGGAGGTACATCCGTAGAATTACAGCACATATGCACTAAGTTATCTTTTGGTCGCTGATGATCTCTTTCAAGACAGTGAAATACTCGAAGTACAATTTGTTTTTCACTTAGCGACCGAGACTTCGACCGTTTTACCTTTTTCGACGTTGAAGGCCCTTCAATGTCTTCCATTTTTTGCATAGTTTTAGAACGGTGTAGAAATATTATTATTTAATGTTTAAACACTTATTAGCACTAATATTTTCACCAATTGTTCTTACAACACGTCGATTACTTACTAACTGAACTGTAAAACTTACAATTCACACCGTATAATTCAAAACCCGATGTTACGCTCGTGGTTAGAAATACACTACTGAGAACGTCATCGACGAGATGGATTTTACGCGTAACAGACAAAGACACAAATATCGCTCCGTACACCGATGCCATTAGTTGTAACAAATACTGAACAATCCATAAAATAATTAATTTTAAATGATCAAGAAATGTATTTATTATTTAATATTCAGATATTCCGGAGGAGAATTTAGTCAAACATTATTAGGTCACAGGTATCACTTTATTACTTTTATATTCATTAGCGGGAAAATTCGCGTCTGTGTGTTATTGTCATATTTTTGGTATTCATTGGTAAACGTTTATTGTGGGAAAAATTATAGGGTTTTTATATTATGCTAAATTATGTTATTTAGAGAATCGATAGTGATGTTGTTGTCATAAATATTAATTGTTCTAAAGTCGGTCAATGCTATCAAGCAATAAATTAAGTCATTTAGATTTATGGCCAAAGGGCCGAATTGTAAAGTTTCGGTTGTCTGTAAGTAGTACCTGCCCCTTTCAGTAAAGATAAAAAGCACTTTCGGTTTTACTTTTAAATGGAAAACAGATGTAGATTAGTAGGGTAAACGCATTGATTTGTATATATTTTACATAGATTGCGGTTAAATAAATATGTTTTCTGTCGTTCTTTGTAAAACAAAATTGGGTAGACAAATGTGTCATTTTAGCCGTA